TATAAAAGAAGACTTAAGCTCTAGGGGTTACAAGATCTTAGATGTAACCAATAAAATTAAAAAAATAAAAGAAAATGGCAAAAACATTATGGTACCTCTACCGCTGTTTATGTTAACATTCCCAAATGACGAGATGATGAAAAAAATTTATGAAATCACATAAACAGGATGAAAGTTAGGATAGAGGCACTTCGAAAAGATATAACAATTCCGCACTGTAAAAGGTCTAAAAGGTATGGGCATACCTAAAATTTTGCCAAAAAGAACCGAATTTGCGTTAAATGTGTAGACAGGCACATAACATCAGATTGCAGTAAGCCAAAGAGTACTGCAGCAAAGTGTTCCAATTGCTTGAAGGCCCACCCAGCAAACTATAGGCGATGCCTTGTAGCTAAGGAGCTGCAAAAACGTAGAAATAAGAACAGCAACAACAATTGAAAAAGAGTTCTGACCGGCCACCGAGGCAATTCACCTCGAGAATAGTCTCAAAAGATGTAACATACAAGGACGTTCTCCAAACGAGAACTGATGACGGTGGTACGAGCAATAAAGTAAGGGTCAGTGACGTGGGATTTTTGTATAAAATTCAAAATGTGATGCAGAACATGCTAGATATGATGGACAAAATCTCTCAGAGATTGAGTATTTTAGAGAGCGAAGGGGAAAAATCGAGTACCAAAACAGCTGGTAAATAATGGCACGAGGTAATTTTAAAATGGCAACATGGAATTGCAATGGTATTGCAAATAAAAGGGACATGCTTGAAGTTTTTCTACATATACAGAATATAGACGAATTCTGGGGAGAGCCATTTATTGCATTTGATTGATCCGTTCAGGAGGTGTCTCGTAACTGAAACACATATGACCTTAACCATTGACACCATTGAATTATAGCGAAGGGCGGAACGGCGATAATCATAAAAGAAAATATAATGCATTGCGATCTGCACCATATGCAAACCAAGGGAATGCAAAAGACGGCTGTTCAGATCACTTCAACCAAGCAAAAATTTAGAGTGGCTGCCTTATATTGTCACCCTAGATTTAAAATTACGGCAGAAATGTTTCAAGGCATTCTGACAGAACTAGGATTTATATTGGGGGGTGACTCTAACGCCAAGCGCACTGATTGGGGTTCAAGGCATACTTCAACTAGAGGAAGAAAACATGATAACTATGATCTTAACTCCGATGATTCTGTGGTTATTCTTGAACTTAAGGAAAATATAGTTATGAAAAGAGCGAAACCTGCGCTGACAAATGGAACTACAGATTGGTCAAAATTTTGCTTAGAGATTGAACGACAAACAGATCTAAGGAAAAGAATAAGAACGACCCAGCACATAGATGAGGGGACCGAAAACTTTACTAAAATTATTCAAAATGCGGCTTGGAGTAGTTCCAAAATTAATGTTATTAGAAGGGGGGCATTAACTATCCCCCACATATACTAGCAAAAGTAAGACGAAGCAAGGCAGCAAACGCGTGATCCTACTGATAAAACCAGATATAATCGTGAATCGCAGTAACTAAGACGCTGTACTGGAAAATACAAAGAGGATTTGGTTGCTGATTATATTCAAAATTTGACGGCGTGTGAGAAAACCAATTACTCACTGTGGAGGGCAACAAAGAAAATGAAGCAACCTATCAAACATCTCGCCCCTATTAAAAACAAAGATGGAACGTGGCCAAAAACTGACAAGGACAAGGCAAATACGTTTGCGGATCATTTGGCCGATATATTCTGCCCGCATAACAGCCAAGGCGTGTATGAAAATAAGGAATCTGCTTTTGTTGAGAATAGCGTGACTATTCCAATTGTCAAGAAAAGAAATGTAATAGAAGAAATCAAGACTCTTAAACCTAAAAAGAGCCCAGGATTTGACCTAATAACGGCGGATATTTTGAAATAATTACCCAAAAGGGTATAACGATGCTTACGCACCTAATAAATGTAATAATTGAAATTAAAAGGTTAATCCCGAATCATCAATTTCGTTTTCGTCGGAACCGCTCAACCATAGATCTGATTCATAGAATAACAGACCTAATAGAAAATTGACTGGAAGAAAAAACAATATGTGGTAAATTGTTAAACGTCAAATTTTACAAAATCTGAGTTGTCTGAGTTTACGAATACTCTACTGCGTTTTTACTTTCAGTCAAAGTTTAAATTCTTAAACGTTTAAAAAAAGTCAATTAAGCGTCAAAATTGCAGATTTTTTTTTTTACATGCAGACAGTCTGACGTAGTAATTCAGTAAATAAATCAGATGTATTGAGTGACTATCATTACGTTAAAAATAATATAAAAAATATTTTTTTTCTTAATTTTTAATATGTAAGTATAAAATTATTTTAAATCTAAAAAAAATTTTTTTTTTGTTTTGACGTTTACGGATGATCAAAATTCAAAGTCAATTACCGGTAAAAAGTTTACTACATTTCTGTCCGTAAAAGTTTTATACGTCAGACAGTTTGCAGACTGAAAACAAAATTTTGACGTTAAAGAATTTGCGGATGTTCTATCATATTTTTGAACGTAGAATATTACATAAAGAACAAAAATTTTAAAATACCTGTTATTTTACAGTCGGAATTTTTGAGTCATTTGTTAAAATACCATTTATTTCAAAAATAAAAGAAATATTCAAATCCGGCCATAAAATATATGATTGTTTTTTCCAAACATTTTAAATATTTTTTTAAATGATAGTAAGTTTTTAATATTTTTTCAAATAAAAATAGAGGTAAAATTTTGAAGTTTATATAAAATTTGTATTTAACAAATAATATTTGATTGTATTTTAGTTATTATTTTCTAATTCCCTCTTCAAATTTTTTCTTTACTATGTATTTATATCAATATTCAATAATTATCTTTCAATAATTATATTTTCAACCTGACACCAAAGTTACTCCCCATATCTTGAGTTAACTTACCCTATGAGAAAAAAAAGCCGTTCGCTTAAAAATAATCCCCTCTATTATGAACATCGGTATCGGCCGATATATTATCTGCAGTTCTAATCGGTTTTAGGTTTCTTCTGTATTATGAACCGATACCGATAAAAATATTTCAACCGATTAAAAGAAGCTTTTTCATACAAATTTTTGTTTTTGTAAATTGGAGAAAAAGTTTTTTTTTTCTAATGACATTTGTTTTCTTTCAAAAGTTATTTTCAAAAAATTTTTAAAACTATTTTGAATTTGGTTTTGATGTGCTAAAAAGTTGTTGTAAGCAAATTATTTTCTGTTAAATTTGTAAAATAAAAATATACATACATATATCGGGAAAATGTCGCGTGCATTATATTTTGAAAGTGAAGAAACGGTAGTAAGTGAAGAAACGCAAGCTATTCAAAGACGACATATAAGAGATTCAACTAATCCATTGGATTTAGACAACAAAATGTATGTTTATGTACCTATTTTATTTTATTATTTATATAATATGTACACATTTTTTAGGTTTATCCAGAATTTCAGATTACCATTCCTTGCCAGGTTTAAGTCCTCTTCCATTTTTTCTACTAACCGCGCAATTTGTTTTTTGTTGCTTACGATTTTACTCCTAAATAAAATATATGTATGAATAACATTTTGAAAGAAAATAATTTAGAAAAAATGCTTACATTTTAAAAAAGCAATTAATTACACCAGTTTCCTTGATAAAATGAAGATTTTACAAAAAAAAAAATTTGTCGTCTAAAAATTTGTACCCGCTTTTAAATCGGTGAAAACCCGACAATTTATCGTTTTCATAATACCAGCTAATACGTTTCCTATACAGGGAAAAAAAGCTTTCCAGACTCCGATAAAATTTACCGATAAACAATGTTGGTAATACAAACGCAAAATTTTGCCGATAAATTATCGTTTATCGGCCGATACCGATATACATAATAGAGGGGAATGAAATGCTTTCAGTAACATATAAAACGTTGAAGGCGAAGGATGTGCTTGTTGTTTTTCCGCTTTTTTTTTAATTTTAAAATAATTATCAATGAAAATATTAATATATTTTTTTGATTTTTCAAATATATTTTCTAAATTTTACCTGCTTTAGAATAAGTGTGAATTTATTTTAATATTTCTTCTCAAAAAATAGCCACTTCGATTTAAAAAAAACCCATATAAAATAAGGTCGTGCTTTCAAGTTTCTCTCTGACCATTGGGACTTGTTAGATATAAAGGCATTAGCATGGGTGTTGATCTTATCCATATTAGACAATGAAAATTATATGTACATGTGTATTTTTGAATGTTTTTTGCGTATTTGCTTCTATGTGGGATTGAATGGATAAGCTGTATAAAATAATATTCTGCATCTATAGGCATATACGAATTAACGTAGAAAAAAAGTAATAACAATTGTAATTCTGATCATTCATATCAATCAAAAAAATGTATAGTATATTAGTAAAATAAATAGAAATGAAAAAGTAGTGTAGAGTAACAAAATGTATGGATAATTTTAATTCTATGAACATTTTTTGTTGTATGGTGGGAAAGGAAAATATGTGTAGATCAATAATTAATGTTTGGGGTAACTGATTTTTTTTTTCATACACATTTTTTATATTACTAGGAACAAAATGTTATGTTTGTATTTAAGCACATTTTATCAAGTTAATTTAGCTGTAAATTGATATATGTAAAACAAAATTTTGGAATCCTTTTTTTGAAAGAAAATTCTTTTTTTTTTTTTAACTTAGGGTTTTTTTGAAGTTCGTGATGGCACCCCTGTTTTTTGTCGCCCATTGCAAATGCATACTTTGCATATATGAGAAATCCGGCCTTGGTGATATTAATACCCACTTTAACTTACATATATTAGTTGTAATTGTTGAATTATCACAATACCTGCTAGGAATAGAAAAATTAAACAACAAATTTCGATCTTTTATTTAACATCTTGTTTCTTTTATACACTTTTGAATTTTTGAAAACGACAAAAGATTCATTAATATATGAAAATAAGATATAACAAATATTGAAAAAAATTACGCATGAATATAATAATATGTGTATTAAACAAGAAATCTACTTATGTATATGAGTTCACATCAAATTTTAATTCTCTTTAAATTGTAAAATAATTAGAAAAGCAGTTAACTAATTAATAAAATACATTTGCAATAATATCAGGCAAAAGATTTAACCTTATCACTGCACACATACATAACGTAGATCTTTAATATATTTATAGGATAAACATATTATAAATTTATTATAACTAAAAATACTATTTATTGTCAATCAATTAATCATTTCGATTCATACGGGTCGAGAAATGATATTCTTAATTATCGTGCTACATGCTTAATTAACTTATTTTAGGACTACCGCCAACATCCTCAAATATATTATCTTTTGCGATTTCCTATGCCTGATTTTCTATTGCATATGATTTTAATAAACTTTAATATTTTTTTAATTGTTTTAAGTTATTTGTTGGTAATCATAAAATTCTATTTAATTTGAAATTCACTATTGTAAAGCCTATTTTTTAAAGAGAGAAAATAAATTGAAATCAAATATTTTGCAAAGTTGTGAACTGTAACCATGTGCTGAATAAAATTTCTATTATTACAATATATAAAAATCTTTGCACCAATGCCAAATAAAATGAAAAAAAAACTTATAAGTATAATATGTATAAGTTTTTGTTTTTGGTTTTTGTAAAAAAAATAGTATTAAATGCAATTAGTTTCGTTTAATTGTAATTACATTAAAAAAAATTCTTAACCTATTTCATTTTGCTGTCTGCTTATTTACAATTAGCAATGAAACGAATATTTGAACAAGTGACTTTATTATCCATATTACAATTTTATATTTATTTTACTGAAGCAAAAAAAGAAAATAGTAGTGCCTTGTGACGACTATTACTTATTGGTTGTATTTGGTAAATTGATAAATTGCAGATATTAAACTAAAATCGATTAGAATAAATATTATATGATAAAATTAGATAGAAAATTAGAGCCACATGTGTGATTGTGTTGATTTACAAAAGTTAAATATTTAATAAAAAATTATGGTCCTTTTTTTATATATGTATATATGTCTGCACATTTAATTTTTATTACTTATATGTGTTTTAAGTATCGTCATCATGAATGGTTCATTTGACTTGTTCAATTGACAAATTTTTAGCACTTTTCCAAAAATTTTTTGAAAAAAAGTGCTTATTAGTTTCACTCTGTCCGTCCGTCCGTCCGTCCGTCCGTCCGTCCGTCCGTCCGTCCGTCCGTCCGTCCGTCCGTCCGTCCGTCCGTCCGTCCGTCCGTCCGTCCGTGTGTCTGTTTACAAAACTTTTACACCCTTGAAGATAGAAAGCTGAAATTTTGTACGTACATAGATCTTTACTAGAAACTTATTTCCGTAGAACAAAATTTTCACCTATCTCCCCCCCTCTAGAAGTTATACCCCCCCAAAACCCTAAAAATGGCCTTTTTTAACTATTTGTTGCAATGAAACCATAAGCATTTTTTAAATTTTGCAAACGCATAAAGGCAGCGGCTTGCTTCCCCTAGCGCGGTATACTATGGTTAAACTTTAGAAAAACAAAATGGCCGTTCAAATTTACCGTTATCTAAGGTCTTTTTTTTCCAAATTTTTGATGTCGTTTTTCTTCTAGACCCCAGCTTGTAGAAGCTTTAAATTTTAGGGACTTTTAGACATTAATAAATAGTTCATTTCATTGGAAGAAAATTTTTTTCCATCTCCACCCCCTCACAAGTTATCGCCTCTTGAAATTTGTAAAATTTGAATTTTTGACACCTTATATTTTCGAAACCGCAAGCTTTTTCAAATTTCTATAAACACAAAAAGCTAACGGTAAATTCCATGAAATTAAAAAATATAATTATTTTTCTTATCCCACACAATTAACCTTTAAAATCGAGCATTATGTTAACTCCTTTTTATATTAATTTTTGCTTTATTTCAAAGACTGCATATATGCGTCATCCTAAATATATGCAATCCTAGCAATAGTTTTGTATATGAATGAAAATAATTTTAATAGTATGATAGGTATACATAGACTGTATTTAAAAGCAGAATTTTCCCTTGTTGAAGGGAAAAGTGCTATAATACAAACCATTGGTTTGACCCAACTTTATTATTCGTATATAATCAAATGTTATATCGCCGATTATAATATTAAGACATGGTATTTATTAACTTATCTGCGTAAAACGTTTTTGGTATGATTGTTATTTTTTACATTCAAAATTTTTCTGACTCATATAATTTATAAACTTAAAATAGCGCTATTGATATTCTACACAAACTGAGCCCAAAAGAATTCTTTTATAAATCGGAACCTGCTTTTTGGAAGCGCGATACATACATATTTCTCAATAACAACTTTATTATTAATTATTATTTATATAATTAAATTTATGAAATTTGATAATAAATATTGTTCTTTCTTTTTATATCCTTAAAACACAAATATTAAAGTTCTCATTATAAAACTTATCAAAGAGGTTTCCGCTCTTAAGTTTTATGTTTCTTTTGAAAATATTAAGAGTAATTAAAAATAGTATTAAGAGTTATTACAATAATAAATATTTTATTGCCTCAATGTAGCAAGCGTTAAAATTTTCGGGTATAAGATATTGTTATTTATTTTTAAATTCAAGCGATTTATTTTTTTTGCAAACATCTGGACGTTTCTGGTTTTTGGGTTCAAAAATTCGTAAACGTTGCTTCATTGCATCACATTATATAGGAAAAAGCCATTATAATTTTCTTAAAAATAATATAAAAATTAAAAAAAAACCGTGTAACAAAAGTTAAATAACCATAGTATGCACATTATATCACTTGTATACATTTATGTAGGTATTTTTCATATATATCAAAAATTTTTGAAATATAAAATAATTTTTCAGCTATAATTGACTAAAATTGTTATCAAATTTGCTTTTTTTAAATAGTTCTTAATTAATAGACGTTACATTCACATATTAGCCAATAACCAAGTTTACAATATAGTTTATACATAATGCGATTTGAATTATAATTACATTATTACCCCTTTAATGAATTCCAATAGTTAATAATTTCTAAGAAAACACTAAAAGTTTTTTATTAATTTCGAACTTACTTTCAAAATTCGATTTAATAAGTTTTGCTTTCAAAATTTGTAATACTATTAATTATGAGTTTCATTCGTAAAAAAACGTCAAAAAGATACGAAAGAATTATCTATTTTAGGGTTTTTTATCAGAATATGATTTCTACATTTTTGATTGACAAAAAAAAAGTTATGAATGCTTATTACTTAAAATTTTAACCGCTTTCTAATGCAAGAAAAAAAAATTTAATTTTTCCAGTTAGTAGTTTTTAAAAAAACTCCTTGAAGAACATTACTTATAACTAACCAATTATTCCAAAAATTTTCCTGACAAAATTAGACATCTACAATTATTTACTTCTCAAGATCATAAAATATTCTAAGAAGACATTGAAATAAAGATATGTCGCGTTGCACACTTTTGAAATGAAAACGTATTCTTGTTTTTTTACCGTTTCGTTTCAATTTGAAAATGCAATATCTGCACATATTCATTTTTACATTTCGTATTTAAACGTTCACGTTGGTTATTTTCATTTAAGTGAAACCGCACGTTTAAAAACTTTTAAAACTAGATAAGTAAACTTATTCAGTTCTGATTGACATTAATTGCCAGTGGAAAAAGTGTGTATCTTATTTGATATACAAAAATATGTTAAAATTTTAATAATACCAACTTCACTAAACGTTCACTACTTAATGTTAACACAAAACAAAACTAACACAAAAAAAATTTCAGTGATGTTTTACTCGAAATGGCAAAATTGTATATATCATGTTCTGATAAAAAAACTCTATAAATGTTGCCTTCTTCACTTGTCCAAATTTGTTTTACTTTTTTTCTTAAAAAATTTAACCTTAAGGCATTAATTAAACAAATAATTTTTGACTTCTCCTCTTTATTTAATTTTCATTAAAAATATTTTAATTTTTTTATTAAATCATTATCAATATTTAATTTTTTAAATATAAAATATTTAAAAAATTTAAATAAAATCTAATTAAATATTGATTTTTATTCTTTTTTTTTATTGGTATGAAGAGGAAACTTCCTTTTATTCGGAATAAAATACTTTTTTTTTATTTTTTGCTAATATATTTCGTGCGCTACATACGCACTTTATCAAAGCTGATTTTCTTCTGAAGAAAATTTTCTTCTGAAAATTTTTCAAAAAATAAAAAAAAGTATTTTATTCCGAATAAAAGGAAGTTTTCTTTTCATACCAATAAAAAAAAAAAAAAAGAATTATATTTCGGAAAAATTATCAACCATTGAAAAAATTTTTTGAATTGAATTTTATATTTCAAAAAGTAGTGCTACCATACCTTCCATACGTTTTCGACTGAAATTTATAATAGTTCAGTCTTCAAAAGTGACTTTGTTAATAATTATTTGTAAAAATCTACAATTGGAACTCATTACAGGGCCGTACTAAATATATGTATATATAATATAACCATTAAAGGTTTTTTCTTATCTTTTTAATAAAATTATAGCACTGTTTCTATTTCTTGTTTTAAAATGTTTATCTGATTATTTGAAAGGGTACCTTTTATACTTATACTACTTCGATTCCCTTCACCCTCATTTTTAATATCTTTATTATAATCTGTTTTCATAACAGGAATTAATGATTTATTATATGGATTAAATTCTTCCAAAATATCTCCATTAGAATTTGAATTTTTATTGCTGTGGCATTCAGCTAAATTAAGCTCACTGTGGTGATTCCGTATATACCGAATACAGTTTGAAGACATTTTTAAATTAACGTTATTTGGTGAAATTGTTTGAAAATTTTGATTTTCAAAATGATGTGATATTGTTGACAAATTAACATAATCATTAACTTCTAATTCTGGAACATTTGAAGTAGTACTACAATTATTAGGCGAAATTGGTTCCATAATAGGTGGCATAGTGGCACCTTCCATATTATCATCAACACTATTTGATTCCACATTTCGAGAATTAATTTCTGAATTAATTACTTGGGCATTATTTAGAAGAGAGATTGTATTCTTCATTTCTTGATTGTTATCGATAGCAGATTGAATATTTAGTTGATGATCATGATTTTGTTGAAGTATATTTATTGAATTATTTTGATGTTGCAATTGGCACTGCTGTTGCGATGGACTAAAAGAGCTTAAAAGCGGGGGTGATAACGGCGATGAACTGTCGGCCAATTCTCCTAAAAACCATTAAAAGAAATCCATTAAATTACTGACGTTAAATTAATTACATTACTGACGTTAAATTAATTAAATTACTGACGTGATTTAATCTTTATGCTTTTCGACATGCAGCTTTTTGCTGTATTATTATTTTTATTATTTATTTATTCAATTTTAAGACTAAATAGTTAACAATTACATATATAACTTAATAATAAAGTAAAATGAAAATAAAGATGACCCTATCTATTGCCGTTAACGGCAAGTGACGAAGTGAGATTTATACTAATTTAAACTTAATTAATTCAACAATTTATTTGTGGTGGGGATAGCAAAGAAACCTAATTAAGTAATAAAAAATTCAAAAATTCCGAAAAAGCAAAATCTAGAATCTAGAAGGATGAGTGATAAAAAATTGCAAAAATTTATAATTTACTTGCTAATATATAAAAATACAATGTACAATTTCATACAATTTATACATTTGAAAAGTTATTAAAGCTATTAACATAATAAATTGTAATCAAATCTTTATTCAAATATAACTTTTGGAATCACTAGATTGTGCATCAAACAAATTTTGCTGAATAAAAGTTCGATTCGTTTGTGATCGAAATTAAATAACCATTTTTTAAAAGTCTTTGCAAAAAGTGGCAAAGTTCAAACTCTTCTGAGATCCACTGGCAATAAATTGAATACTTTTGGCGCAACCGAGATATAGAAATGAGAAAAATGATAAAGTCTAGCGCTTGGAACAACTGCAATATTCATATTATTAATTCTCAATTTATAATTAGAATAAAACCTTTGCACCAAGTAGGCTGACCGCGTGAAGAAGACTTTTAAAGATTTATAAAAACATAGGCGCCGAAGGGGGAGAACATTTAAGTATCTAAAACAATGGAAAACTAGGTACAAACCTATTCTTCCTCGGTAAGACTCTTATGCAATGCTTCTGAGCATTCAAAATAGAGTATATCTTATTAAAATCAGATCCATCCCAACAAACAATACCGTATCGAACAGTACCAACTTAGATGAAAAATCTTTCTTATAACATTTCCAAAATAATTATTTAAATTACGTGTTCTGTCATATATTTATGTGAGTTAACACTTTCAGCTTTAAAGCACAATTTATCACAAATAGAAACACTATTATAAGAGTGCGAATGAATAGGGAATTTGCAACAGCTAGATGAATGATAAAATAAGTTACAGTCGGTGATAGAGCTCTCTGTTAAGTTAAATATGATATATTTAGTTTTGTTGCTCATTATCATACTATGAGAGAAAAGCCAACTTCTAATTAAATGTAAATCATAATATAAAGCGCAGTAATTTCCGTTATATTTTTTCACAGTATGTGAAGACACAATCATCTGCAAAAGCTGTAGCATTTCCTATATTAAATATAAGAAAGAAAATTGAATAATTAATAAAAATAAGAAAGAAAATTGTTCCTAAAACGGAGCCCTGAGTCACTCCACATTTTATTTCAATAAGATCACTCAATACATTGTGGATTTCAACCCTTTGTTTCCTGTTACAAAGATAAGAGCAAAACCAATGAGAAACGAAGCCTCTAGATCCAGTTATATAATAATACATAAACAGAGCTGCACAGGAATAGTCATCATTTACGCTTTAGAGATTTCACTGCAAAATTTTAATAACGACCCTCTGTACTTAATTTATGGCGAAACCCAATTTGCGAATTACCAAAAAAAAATTTGTTTTATCTAAAAATTTAACCATCCTTGATTGAATGCCTATCTCAAAAACTTTGGAAATAGTGGATAATAGCAAAATTGGTCTATATTTATTTAGATTTTGTGAATCAGCTTTTTTAAAAAGAGGATAGACCTCAGCAATTTTGAGGGCACTTGGGAAAATTTCATTCAAAACACTTAAGTTAAAAATGTAGCATATAACATCCGAAATGAGAAAAGAAATTTCTTTCAACAAAGTATTTGAAAATGAACCAGTTGAAACAGAAGTGGGGGGTAAATGGATAGAATGCGTAACATAGTTGATAGTTTCCAGCTATATCAACCCAGCCTCTACTATCTAACGCCTAGTTTTACCTTCACGTGGTACCCCCTGTACGCTGAGTAACCTATACGAAAGGTCAGGTAATCAACCCTGGCGGTGTAGATAGGTCAGCAACAAACAACACTGGCGGCTTCTGAGAGCGACTTCGACATTTCAATTTAGGGGTCCAGGAGTTAATAATCGGAGCGTCTGACCTAGAATAGATGGCCCCAAACAGCGTCTGTTCCCTTGTTGGGCGGCTGAGTCAAAAAGAAGGAAAACTACCGAAAACCCTTCAGAAGGCAACGGGAAACCACTGAAGTATAATTTCCCTAGAAAAATACAATGTGTGAAACAACAGATGAACGGCCCTCAGTCTCCGGCAAATCGAGGGTGCTAAGAATCCCCGGAGGTAAAACCAAACAACATATAAACATCGCAACATGGAACGTGCAAAGCCTATTTGAAGCTGGTAAATTAGCCAATACAATTAAAGAGATGAAACGTTTAAGCATCAATGTTCTCGGTGTAAGCGAAACATGGTGGTCAGATGTGGGAGAATTTCATTCAGAAGAAACAAAAGTTTATTACTCGGGAAACAAATCGACAAGACACAGGCAAGGTGTAGGAATAATTGTCTCAAAAAATGTAATAAAATCTGTTCAACAATTCATCCCTTTCTCAGATAGGGCGTTGTTACTCAAAATAAATGCTAAACCAATTCCTATAAATATAATTCAGGTCTACGCTCCTACAGCTGACAGCAGCGATAGTGATATCGAAAGTTTCTAAAGTGAGATTTCGGAATTATTAAAACTTACCAAGAGACAAGAAATGAACATCATCATGGGCGATTTCAATGCAAAAATTGGCACCGGAAAAGTAGAAAATATTGTTGGTCCATTTTGAACCAGAAATGACAGAGGTGAACGTCTTATACAATTCTGTCAAGAAGAAGACTAAAAAATCACAAATACCTGGTTCTCTTTACCGCCTAGAAGGTTGTGTACGTGGAAATCTCCCCAAGATACTACAGGAAATATAGTGCGAAACCAAGTAGATTTCATTTTAATTAATAAAAGATTTAGTACATCCGTAAAAAGCGTGTCTACTTATCCAGGAGCCGATGTTCCGTCAGACCATTATCTACTTTTGGCTAAATTCAAAATTAAATTAACCGTAACCAGACCGCACCAACCGCGGAAAAAACAGCTAGATCTAGATAAACTTCAAAATAGTGAGACAGGAGCACAAACCGCTTTAGAGATAAACGCTCAACTTAGATCTATCAACGTAGGAAGTACTAACATTGCACTATGGAATCAAACCAAAGAAATTTTAAACAGCACTTCTAAAAGAATACTAGGTTACAAGAATTTCACCCCAAAACAAAAGTGGATGACAGAAGAAATATTTAACTTAATGGAACAAAGGCGAAAATATAGAGGCAAAAATGATGCTACATACAAGCAAATACATCGCTGCATAAGAAGAAAAATAAGACAAGCGAAAAGCGAATGGCTCACTCGAGAGTGCGAAGAACTAGAAAGACTTCAACGCACCCATGATACTTTTGCATTACATAAAAAGATTAAACAAACTGCTGGCATCTACCGATATACGAAACCATCTGTTCTAGTGAATGAAAATAATCAATTCGTAACTGATCTTAAAGAAAAAGAAACAGTCTGGGAAAAACATATTGAAAACCTCTTCTCAGACGGTACAAGATCGGCGGAAACTTTAATTATTCCGTCATCAGGAAGATTATTAACAGGACCACCTATTACTAGAGGTGAAATTCGAAACGCTATTCAGTTGTCAAATAACAGAAAAGCCGTAGGACCTGACGAAATACCAGTAGAAATTTTAAAACTTATTGATGACAACAATCTAGGAGTGCTGGAAAGAATTTTTAATATTATATATGATACCGGGACATTTCCAAAAGATTTCTTACAATCCACATTTATTCCGATGCCAAAGAAAAATAGCGCACGTAAATGTGACGAACACAGACTAATAAGTATAATGAGTCATGTTTTAAAAATTTTTCTTAAAATCATCCATAGCCGAATATATAAAAAATGTGAAACAAAAATGGGACATGAACAATTCGGTAGCCGGCATGGGAACACGGGAGGCATTATTATGTGCCCAGGTGTTGGTGGAAAACTGCCGCGATGTCAAGAAAGATGTCTTTCTATGTTTCATCGACTATGAGAAAGCATTTGATCGAGTCAGACATGACAAATTAGTTGAGGTGTTGTGCAATACAGGAATAGATGAAAAAGATATAAGGTGTATCGTTAATCTATATTGGCATCAAACAGCAACAGTCAAGTCAGGAGATATTAACACGGATGACGTTAAAATCTCAAGAGGTGTGCGTCAAGGATGCGTATTATCTCCGTTATTGTTCAACATATATTCCGAAGCAATTTTTGAAGAAGCCTTAATGAACATAGAAAAAGGAGTTAAAGTAAACGGAAGATATATCAATAATATACGATACGCTGACGACACCACCCTGAGAACTGACAGTTTGGAAGACTTGCAACACCTAGTAAATGCGATAAACACACACAGCAAAGTCCTTGGTTTAAAAATGAATATCAGCAAAACCAAATACATGATCGTAAGTAGAAGTAACCACCAATACAGTAACGCATCCATCATAATCGACAATTTAGCTATTGAAAGGGTGTCAAGCTTTAAATATCTCGGTTGTTGGCTGCACGAAAATTGGACCGCGGATAAGGAAATTAATTGTCGAATACAAATGGCGAGATCCGCGTTTACCAAATATAAAAAGGTTTTCGTCAACAGAGACATCAACATAAATCTGCGAATACGTTTCATGAAATGCTATGTGTGGTCAGTCCTGCTTTATGGTTCTGAAGTATGGTCGTTGAAAACTAAACATATGAACAAGTTGGAGGCTTTTGAAATGTGGATCTACAGAAGAATGGAAAAAATATCGT